GGAGCATTATTTTGTGGCACCGGGATTCACAGACGCCCGTTTTAGCTTTCAGTTCCACCCCTGCTTTTGTTCATGACATTACGTGGTCTCCAAAATCCGCCTTCGTATTCGCAGCAGTGAACGAAAGCAGAGTGGAAATTTGGGATCTTAGTGTCAGCACGTAAGTCATGACTTTTCTCAAAGAAGATTCTGAAACCTAATTGCACAAAGGCTGCGTGTTATTGCCCCATCAGTATTGTGATCATGCCAACACAATGCCACGTGCTGGCTCGGTTATTGAGAGTACTGCATGTTGAGATACTCATTTTGTAAAAGCAGAGGGTAGTTACCAGAGAACTGTGATTATAAGGGAAGGAGCTGGATACCTCGTGGAACTGGTAACGGGTAAAACAGAAATCATAGATTCTACCACTGCCACAGTTCAAAGGGAAAATAACAAAACCGAGCTACTGCAGAACGTTATAGAAAACAAGACAGTGAGCTCAGATACCTCCCGTGTTTTCCCACCACTGTGCCGTCTGTACTACTTAGTAGTAGTTATGACAGCACGAAGCCCACAGTGGAGCGGGAGGCCCACCACATCTTGCCGTAGTAAAAAGCAAATTATTCATATAATAAAAAATATTAACCACCGCCCATATTAGGCAACAGGACAGATTTTAGGCAATCGGGATATCTTAGTCAGCAGCTGGGAATTTTGTTCTGGTAGAGACCAAACCAAACACTGTCTCACTTCTTAGTTTTTCAGTTAATCTAGAACATAAAAGGTAAAACATGCAACATCCATCAGGCCCGCGTCATGGCTAGACTCGACACAGTAGTACGGGCAGGCAGACACAATGTTCCCTATTAATTCTTACCTCCGCTGGGTTGCAGCTTCAACGCCGTGATCTCTTCCTTTGCCAACCCAAGAGAGAAGTTCACATCTGCCCTCTTCGCTAAGAACACCGACTGCCTTCTCGTAGGAGACAGGGAAGGAGAAGTCATTGTGTTCAAGCTGCGGAACCTGGCTGCTCCCAGCAGTAATCAGGTACGGCTCACTGGGAAAAGGCGGTGGTCCTGAGGCCTGCATGCTCATCTGGCACTTCAGTCCCCAGAAGGGAGTTTCTGCTAAAGACCTAGCTAATAAATACTGAAATAGGTGGGATCAGGTAGAATTCCATCACCAGATTAAAACCTGAGGTGGTTCCTGCTCTTCCGTAGTGCCATACCACTCGGAACTTCAGGAACAGTTACGTCAATGTTATCCGCTTTCACTTGATCGCAAACCCAGAGGTTCCCAGCAGCTGGATTTGGGAGGGATGCTCGGGCAAGGGCAGGAAGGTGGAGCTTCCTCTAAACTGCAGCTGGCAGGATGCCCTTACCTGCTGACACGGCATCCACCTGCCCTCTCCTGGCCACCACCAAGACAGTCTCCGTTGGTGTCAGCCCTTCGGCTCCGCCTGAAGCCACTACTGCTCCCAGCCAGGGCTCTTCTGGCCTACATGGCCTGAGAATTTGACTTGCCTCCCAGCTAGGGACCTTTCCAATCATACCATTGCCGAGATCCCGCGGCAGCGTGAAAGCTGACTGATGTCAACTTGTGAATCCCTTCTGTTCGCTTTTGCCTAAATCAGGGGTAATTTACACCAAAGCCCCACTGGGTTCTCCTTGCCTGGTCCACGACACAAAATTCTGATGCCACCCTGGGCACTCTGGCACTGGTGGATCCCTCCTCCAGGACCTGCCTGCAGGCAGCCTACAGCCCCAAACTGTGCTGCTCCCTTGGTCCTTTCAGCTCGGAGCAAGTAGCTTTGGCTTACTGGACTTGGGTTCCCAGTTTGTACAGCGGGCTGGGACTTCTTAAAATCCCTCCTCAGTTACGTGGCACAAAACACTAAACTTGAGTTAGAGAGAACCAAAATGCTGATGTTAATCTAGCCTTCATTCATTAAGCACTAATAATTCACAACTGTCAGCGTTGCATTTAGAAATTCTGGGAATTACCAGCCTCATTTCCCAAGTGCTGTAAACGAGTGAGCAAAAAGATAGTTCCCTTAAAAACTACAAGTGAGGCCACTGTTGTTAAACTTAAACACCAATAATTTTATTTTCTATTTCCTACAAATCACCACGAAACAACCCAAGTTCTCTGAGCAGAGAAGTTGTCAAGTTAATAGGATTATAAGGATAAATTTCCAGGTATGTCACCAGAGCAGGACTAAAACCATCAGTGCTTAATTTCACAGACTTTGGGCATGTGGCATGAAAATGCATGTTTGTACGCTGCTAAGTATAATGCTACAAATGCAATCCAAACAGGCCTGTCAAAAAATGCTATTTTCAAGGGGCACTGCTAGAGGTAAGCCTAGCATTAACAGAATTCCAAAGCAGGATCAGCTGACATCATACAAACTACCTTAGTCTGCTTTCTGTGGGCTCACTGTGCAAGCAATTCTGTGATCTGTTCATAAATAGGAATTTTGGATCACTGCATGTTTTACACTGCAATAACAGCTCTTTTTTTTTCCTCGTTTTACAGGTCAATACCTTACATGACATACTTGGTCCTGCTGTAGCTATTTAACTGCAGCCAAATGACACCACTTCTCAGTTGGTAACCAGCAAGAAAGACTTACTGTAGTATTAACATAAACCATTTATTATTCTTTTTCAATCATTAAAATTTCTCTTTGAAATCAGACTGGTTAGAAACTTCTTACAAATGCTCTCAATTTTCACCAGAAGTCCCCCTCGTTAGACAAACAATTAATACACAGATGGCCATCCCTATAATACAGATGAGGTAATACAAAGGTCTCCGTAGTCTTTCTCCTTGTTTTTTTCCTCCAAGGTCTTTTCTCCTCGGATTACTCAAAAAGCAAAAATGCCAAAATCACCTCCTGTTAGGCCACTCCGTAACACAGCCTAAGTCCTTGTCAGAGGTAGCCTTATCTCCCCTGGGAAATCAAGAAAACGAATGGCCTTTTCATCAAATCCATCTCATCTGCCATCCCATAAACCCCTGAGGGTGAAAGCTGAGCTTTGTGTGGGGCATCAACCACTCCTGCGAGCTACAGGTCATCCCACACCAGGCAAAAGTAGAGACCAACGTTTTCAGCCCCTGACACCTTAGGACAGTGTCAGACTGCAACTCAAATTTCCTCTGTTCCACACTGCCACTCGCCTGAAGCTCCTCCCGTGGGACAGCCGTGTGGTCCCTGACTCCCACAGCTCTGGAGGCTGGAGCTGTGGTTTTCCAGGTCTCCCCAGCAGCTGGAGAGACGAAAGCTGTGGGGAACACTTGCATTGCTGGGTGGAAGCAGCAGCGTTTGGCTGTCTAGGCTGTCTTTTGGTGGGGGGGAGGCAGAGCAGAACAACCCAAAAAAAGCAGCCAGCGAGCCTGCCAACTGATGGAGACCACAGCTGCCGGCTCCAGGAAGCACTATGTACCCACACCCAAAGTTGATAGATACAGAACGTTCAGCCTCTCTCCTTAGCCTGACCATAAACGTCCAACATTTAAACACATCACTGAAGTTAAAGCTCATTGGCGATGCATTAACATTCACTTCCTCCTGCCTTGTGCACATTTTACAGGGAACAGGCCTATTACTCTCCACATAATGTAATCTTTGCGCACCTCACAGACAGACACCCATTAAGGTGAATCATGTGTTAATCATTGTTACAAATCTGAACAAAACGCACCATATATTTTCCACCCGTGGTCATGGCTGTTTACCTACTGATGCTTCGGGTAAGAAACGAGCTTTCTGCCAAGGCCGTAACAAGTAATTCACCCTGCACATCGTGTAAACTGGTAACTGTTCCATTACGGTGCTGGGAAACACTTGCGCTCGGAAGTGCTGAAGATCTCCAAAGTTCCTCGTGAATTTTGTTCTTAAACATGACATTTCTGATCATGTAAGTGACAAATTTTCTCCTTAAGGCATTTTATTGCAAGAATTGTTTATAAAAGTTTACAGCCACTGCAGCCATCAACATCCATGGCAACATAACCAACCTACTATGCTCCGGTCCAAGAGTAACTGCTCCACGCTGCTTTAGTGAACCTGCTTCTGCCTTCCAGGTATGGCCAAAAGGAAAAGGATGGCAAGGACACCGACCTGTTGCTGCTCTGTGCTTTGTTCCCTCTCTTTTTTTATGCCATTTTGGACGGGGGCCTCACTGCAGAGACACCTGAGCCGTGCAGCTGCAGCGGAGCTGTGTCTAACTCACTGCGTGCGGGTGTCTGTGAGGCAAACACCCATGGGTGTGAGCTACATCGCCTTGTACAGGTTGTCAGAGCGAGTATGCTGTGCTCTGATGCTCCACGTGCTGCAGGATTGCATCCTATCACATAGCACACTAGGAATTGTAGCAAGGCACTTTACCACAAAACCCCCTCAAGTACATGATTTTGTTGTGTGCATCTACCCAGCACCGGCAGTGAAGCATTGGCAGTTTCCAGCTGGTCAAGACGATGCCTGGCAAGAGAGCAGGGCAGGAGTAACGAAGAGGTACGCAACTGGCCATCACCCGAAGTTGTTAACTCCCTTTTAGTTTGGGATCACTAACAGAAAAAGATCGACGTTGCGTAAACCGTGCTAACAGGCATGACCGTGCAGCAGGCTGTGTGGGAAACACTCAGAGACAAACCCCATTATCTACAAACCAGGCAACAAACCCCCTTCCGTTTCACAGAACGTACATTGATCTAAGCCCGTGCCCTATAAACATGTTACACTCCATGTGTTCCTACAGTAAAGCAGTTACAGTCTTAAGAAGTCTTTTAATACCTGAGTGAAATCCCAGCACAAATCCCAAAGCACTTAAAACATGACCGGAAACAAGCGATTAACTTGTTTTTAGCAAACATGAAGTCATCCTCGGAACGAGCCCTTACTCAGTGGAGCGGATGGGCTGTCGGTATAAAGGCGAGGATCGCAGCAGTCCTCCCCACCTCGGCCTCGCAGATCCCTCTGCCCTGCCCGCACCAGCCTCCAAGCATCTGCAGAATGAGGGTGCCGGTGCTGCCGCTGGCCTTGCTCGCTCTCCTGATCACGGCACATGAAGGAAACGGTGAGGGAAACACCGTGAAGCTCTGCGGGAGAGACTTTGTCAGAGCCATTGTCTTCACCTGCGGCGGCTCTCGGTGGAAAAGGCATTTGACTGATTATCACTACCTGTTTGGTAAGTACTAATTAATGCGGTACAGGCTAATCAGCCTCTGCAAGGCGTGCCTAGCTCCCGGGGATTCGGAGGAACTAGATCACCTGCGGGCTAAGGGCAGAGCTGCGCCCTTGGCTGCTGCTGCTCCCCTACACAGGTGTGTCTCAAGCACGAACAGCGTGGGCTTCCAGACAGCAAAGCAAAGCTGTTGGCTTGTGAGCAGCTTGCTTGGCGTGATATTTTGCTACATAAAAAGCCTTTAGATCGAGATGTTCCAAGTCAACCTGAGGAATGATGAGTTAAGCCCAAGGCTATCACTGAAAACCTCTATGCCACAACATTTTAAAGGTCAGAGACAACCTCTGCTGCAGCCAACGCAAGTTTTTTACCATTGTCTTCAGTAGGACACGCCGCTTTCCCCACCAGGAACCAGAAACTGCCTTACAACTTCAGAATATTGTAATTAAAGTATGTTGAAAATATACTCTGCAGTTTAAGTATCCTCACATGGTGGTGTTTGTATTTATATTTATTAACTCAGCCACTACACGCACTGCTAGAAATTTGTACCCTGACAGGTCAAAACAACTAGGAGAAAGAAAACAAATGAGGCAGCCGAGAGGACAGAGGCTTTCTACACTTTCCATGCAGTAACATCTGCCTTCTTTGAAAATTCTATTGTAGCAGCAGCTTTAAACAAACACAAAAAGCGATGCCACCTGCAACATCCTACCCGTGAGTCTGTTATAGGAGCAGAACCCCCCCACTGCTACACTTAGCAAGATAACTACTCTGCCTTTAAAAACTCCACGAGGCAGTGCCCGTTGTACTGTGGTATTTAAAATGCACCTGAATTGTGAGTGTAATTTAAGCAGGAACATCTAGGAACTGTGAAATTGTGGGTATCTGACGCCTTAACATAATACCTGCGTTCCAGGAAACCCACAACCAGTTCCAGGTTAACGTGCTGGTCTGACACATCAAATCACGGTTTTACCCTTCAAAGCAAATCTATCAGTGCAAGGCTGATAAGGCAACTGCTCCTACAAAGCACGCTCTTCACTATAAATCCATAAATTACTGGGTTTTTAACACATTGCTCACAGGATGTGTACCTCACACAGGTATCTTAATACTGCCCTGCTGAGAAGTCAGTCATCTGGCACATCTCAGCTGCTCACACCAGAAACACGGCAGAATTCATACTTTCAGCTCCCCGGAGGCTGCTCTGCCTTTCTAGTAAAGAGAAATATTATAAACTACTCACGATTCCACGACCTCTAATTTTTAGCTTCTAATTTTTATATGACAGAGAGTGAAAACCCCCTGCCCTTCTCCCAAGAGAACAGTTATGCCAACACCTTGATGTACGCAGACCAGAGGCCAGCGGCTGACAGCGAAGACATCGACAACAGCGAGCCCAAGACACAGCGAGACTTGCGACGCGCCAGCAAAACTGCTATACTAAAAAAGCGCGAAGTAGCCAAACTGCTTACCACTTCCTGCTGCAGCGTTGGCTGCAGCGAGAGAGATATCAGTTCCCTGTGCTAGAACGCAGGAGGCGCTGAGGAGGTTCAATGTCACAGCTATCATGTATTAAAATAATCATGATGTAAAACACGATTATTTCAGTTGTATTCGTTAACTGTAGCTTTATTCTTTGGAGTACACTAGGGAGTAAAGGCTGAATGTTAAATGTTGTAGTGCAAACCAGCTAACAGCTGCAGTGACAATTCAGGTTGGGCTGACTGGATTCCACAAAGTGCTCAGAGTTAAACTTTTAGTCACAAGTACAAGTATTTCTTCCCATCTACCTACTCTTCCAGCTTCAGCTTTGCATGTAACACGTAATAAAATAACCAATTTATTACACACCCGTTCTCTTAGTTATGAAAATCCAAAGGCCTGTTTCACCTGTGAAATATGGGGAGCAAAAAGCTTGTCTTCAGCATCAAACCAAAGCAGCGCAGGCAGCTCTGTGCAGGGCCTCCACGTGAGGCCCCCCCAGTCAGACCCTCACCACAGCAGACGAGTCCTCTCATCAGTCAGCGCGAGCCCCAGAACTGGGCAGGCAGTAGCGGTGGCTTATTTACCATTCCAGCTGCTTCCAGTAACATCTTCCCGAGGTTCTACAGACGGTTAATTTGCACCCAGGGAGATGAGAAATACACTCCAGAGCTCAGAGGGCTGTATGTCCCCTCTTAGCTGCAGGCAGGTATCAGCCGAGAACCCCAATCCAGATTTTTGTTCGCTAGATTCAAGCACTTTTAATAGAAAGACCCAGACACATTTCACCTACATACTCTAAGCATGATAAAATTGAAGATTTTTCACTTGATTTCAAGCATTATGGGACCGAGCTAGTCTGCTCCAAGCAGAACAAACCACTTTCTCTGAGCTACCTCACCTGCACTCAGGACTTTTCTTGGGGGTCAGGGAAGCCAGGCCAGCCCCCTGCGAGCAAAGCTCCCCATCCCTTTGCTCTCCACTTCCCTCCCGCCATCTCTGCACCCAGCTACTGCAGCTCAACGGGACAGTGTCTGCAATACAGCGTCTGCATGGAGCCGGGGCCACAGGGCCTGGCACGTATTTAACTGTCCACACACGTCATTTAACAGGGATGGTTTTAAAATGCTTTTAACTTTCCATAAAATCCCTCTGTGGTTTCTACTTGGGGATCACGCAGTGAGGGCAAATTCAGTTAGAAAACAGTATTACAGGGATACCCAGTTCTGAAAGCAGCTAGAAATCAGGTGCAAAACGGCATGTCACAGGGAATCACTTCCCAGAGAAAGCTCTGGGAAATACAGTTACTACACTGACTGCCGAAAGGCTTATGGTAACCACATTTCAAAAGTGGAGAATGTTGCCCTGGTACTTTACAACCGTTTTCAACAACAGAAATGGGAAGAGTTAGGCTGAACATTCACCTCTCCTACTGTTAAATTCAACTACCTCCTTATTCAAAATAGACAGCAAAGACATTTGCAAGAGCAAACAGCGAAGCGTTCTTGAAGACGTACGATGAAAACGTATCGCTCGCAGGATCCCACAGGCACCGGCTTCCTATTTGCATGCTCTGGTCATTCAGCTGCCCAATATGTGTAACCACAACAATCTTGTACCTTGGTATCCTAAGGTCTTTTACCCGAGCCTTAATAACCTGCAAGAGAAAAACAGGTTTAGACACAAGCGGTGAGGTCTCTTTACAGGGGATGCTCAGCGATTTGGTTTTCTGGGGCAAACAAGTGCAAGCAGTGCAGCACTGAGCCCTTGCAACAATCCTGATGACAATCTTTGAACTGCAGCATGGGAAACACCGTGAACTCCTTCAGCCCCGTGGGCCGGCGGCATGTACGCTGCTGCGGTCGTTTCACGAGAGACCCAACACTTCCACTGGCTAAAAGCAGGCATGCCTTCCTACAGAACGGCAAGCAGAGATCTTAAAGAAGGAGTTACTATACGTGAATGCCATATTCTCCTCCATATGGGTTCAGCTAACCTGCCGATCGCAGGGGGAGAAGGAAGAGCACACAGTACTGCTTTTTTAAGGCTGGTGAGGTCTTCTGGGCCATACCAGCTCTAAGATTAAAGGGTCAGGCCAGTCTTTTCTCAGCAGCAAGACTGGATTTAACCAAGAAGGAGCCTGCACACGTGTCACTGTACCGAATTCAGCCACTACCATAACTGGCCTATTTCATAAAGATCTGATACACGCTTCAAACTTATTAATGGCATTTCTGGACGGGGCAACCACAGCATGGAGTTTTACTGCATCGTGTGCCACCGCTGCTCCAACACACCTCGTTGTTAACTCATACAAGCCTGCACCCAGGTCAGAGCAACCCTTGGCGCAACTTGACAGCTTCCTTCAGCACTTGTTTTCCACTTCATGTTTATATTTGGGGACCTTCCCCACCTCCCTGACGTGCTATCGAGGTGTGAGGGCAAAATGGTGCAGCGGTACCTCAGCGATGTCCTTCGCCATGTCCCTGCACCGGGCCGGCTCGTAGGGCTGCTCCCTCAGGTAGCTCCCCAACACATCCTTCAGTATAGCATCCACCACCGCCACCGGGAAGCGCTCGGAGGGACCTGAGGGGCAGAACGTGAGGTTAAGCTCGGTTTTCTGAGAGAAAACACACGGAGCCGAAACCAGGGGAGGGCGCGTCGTTCCGCCCCCGAAGCGCCCGGTCGTGGGACCTACCCGAGCGGGGGTCGCTGCCGGGCGGGCCGCTATGCATCCCTGCTCCGGGGCTGAGGGGAGCCGGAAGGGTGGGATG